TCATCCTTTTAGAAATAAAATCCCCAAAGCTTTCTAGCGCATCTGGCTTCCCAGCTAGAAACCTTCTTTTGCATCCTCCCTGGTGGCCAACTGTAGCCATGTCCTTACATGTTATCTACTTCTTCCATGAGAGCCCTCAGCATAATCAGAGTATTTAAATTGCTGATCTGATAATTCCAGTAACCCTGCCATATCTGATTCTGGTTCTGATGCTTGCTCTGTCTCTGCAAACTGTTTTTTTGTTGGTGGTGTTGCTGTTTGTTATTTGTTGTTGTTTGTTTCTTTGCTTCCGGTATGCCTTGTACTTCTTTGTTGAAAGCCAGAGATGATAAACTGGGTACAAGGACGTGCAGTTACTAGGCCGTCGGTAAGGTGGTGTGAGGGGAGAGGGAGCATTCCATAGTCCTAGGATTAGGTCTCTAGTCAGCATGTGCCTCTGCACCGTGAACTTCACAGAGCTCTTCAGTTCCCCTTCCTAAGGTGGGACAGGATGGCCGGGGAGGCGGGGGGAGGGGACTGGAGGAGGGTCTGTCCCTTCTCCCAGGTCTGTCAGACTCTGATAAAAGCTCAATAGGTCAGGCTCTGAGGTAATCGATTGTCTTCTTGAGGGTGGGTCTTGTTAAGAAGAGTGGCCCGGCTGGTGTGGCTCAGTTGGTTGAGCATGGTCTTGAGCATCGAAAGCTTGCCGGTTTGATTCCTGGTCAGGGTGCGTACCTGGGTTGTGGGTTCGGTCCCTGGTGGGGGTATGTACAGAAGGCAACCGATGGATTTGCTCTCTCACATCAATGTTTCTCTCTCTCTCTCCCTCTCTCCGTGTAATAAAAATAAAATTTACATTTACAACCAAATAGCTCTAAGATACCATCCTCTGGAATCTATGATTTCTAACAGAGTTCTTTCATTCTGTCCCACTTTCTCTGCCCCCTTTAGTGCAAACCGGTAGTGTCCTTGCTGCTATAACCCTATTAGCATTAGACATAAATATGACATAAATATGACATAAATATGACATAAATATGACATATGAGGGGGGTGATAAGTCTATGAGTCACAATCATGATACCTTTATCAAACTGCTGTTCAGCCACACTCTTAGGATCCTCTTCAAAGCAAATTCTCTCTCTCTTTCATCATTAATATCTCTCCTCTCTCTCTCTCTCTCTCTTTCTCTCTCTCTCTCTCTCTCTCTCTCTCTCTCTCTCTCTCTCCCCCTTCCTCTCTGAAATCAATAAAAATATATTTTTAACAATAAACATTAAAAAAAGAAGCCCTGGCCGGTTTTTCTTTCTCAGTGGTTAGAGCATCAGCAAAGGGTGAGGTGGAGGGTTCCATTCCTGGTCAAGGTCACGTACCTTGTACCTCAGTTACAGATTCCCCAGCCCCAGGAGGGGCTCTTGCCGAAGGCAATCAACCAATGTGTCTCTCTCCTGTCCATGTTTCTCTCCCCCTCCTCCCTCCCTTCCTCTCTAGATAGAAATCAATGGAGAAAATATCCTCGGGTGAATATTTAAGAAGAAGAAAAAGAGTGCTCTGGTGTATTTCAAAATACCTACTCTTCCACCTCC